TCCAAAGACCCAAGCTTTATGGAGCTAGAGGCAAGCCTATGAGCACCAAACCCTTGTTGGAGCTTGTATTGGCATTATAGAGCAAATATGCCATGCATGAACGTAAAGATTGAAGCTTTACGTGACATTCGAGCCTTGGGAGACTAGATCTAGAGTTTGGAGTGGTAGATCTACCTTAAAATGTCGGAATGAGAATACATACTGAATGGACTCGCCGAGTCAATGAGCTGACTCGACGAATCGGCTAGGGTTTTCCCGATGAGACTGAACACACGGTAACTCGGCGAGTTGACGGGTCAACTCGACGAGTTGATTTGGACTTTCATGAGGGTTCTGAGGAACCTAAGGGACTCGACGAGTCGCATAAATGCACTCGACGAGTTGGGTCAACATGGACTGTTGACTCGAGTATTGACTTTTGTTGACTTTAGGGTTTGGTCAAACTTGAGGGATAACTCATGGAGGGGCAAAATGGTCTTTTACCCATCCCAAGAGTTAAAGAGGGGCTATCATGAGTTTATTTAAAGTTGTGATCTTTAAGTGTTAATTAGAGATGCTTATTACATGTAGGCGGTGATTAGACTGTTCTAGGGGTATTCGGTTTCCTTGCTTGCTTACGAGGTAAGTTTTCTCACTATACTTACCTAGAGTGGTAATCTTTGTGTGACCGGAGGGTCTTATGTGCTTATATTGAGTATTATGATATCATGCATTATGTCTTTGTGATTTATGCTGTGTATTATTCTGAGCTTACCGAGTTAGGACCGGAGGGTCCACCCAAGTTGTGGAACCGGAGGGGTTCCACTGAGACACATCGACCGGAGGCTTTTAATTGAGTATAGTCATGAGATGCTAATGAGATGTGTGTGGTATTTTGGGGAATTCACTAAGCTTTGTGCTTACCGTATTATGTGTTATGTGTTTCACGTATTTCTCAGGATCACGGGAAGGCACCGACTTGATTGTACACACATGAGTTGAAGATATGATTTGGAGGATCCTGGATTGTGTTTTAAACAATTTATGAACATGTGTTTTGATAACTAGATGATTGAGGGGTTTTGTGATTGTGATAATAAATTAATGTGATTTTAAACGAAAAAATTGTTTTGAAATTTACGGTGTTACAAGTAACGACGCCCTAGCCTTGCATGGTTTTCCTCGCGACGCCTTGGCTCCAACTCAACACATCGCATCAGAGGTATAAAACAAGGCCTTAGACTGGTGAGTGTTATACCACACTCACCACACTTTTCTACTGCCACGTTATTTTTTTGTCATACCCCACAAAACTGGTGAGTGTCATACCATACCTCACCATACACACCATATTACATATTTTTATGCATGCAGTACAACATTTGAAGGAATGCTTTTTTCCCGTTTGGTAAATCCATACCACGGTCCAGCATTACCGCACTTTTTTTTTGCACCTCGGTAAGGTGTTTACCGCATACCACATCTTACCGCGGTATGCCGTATAAGGTGCACCGTGTGGTCACGATTGCCTGTTACGAATCATTTCTATATAATTTCATATTTGATAAGATGTGTTATTGAAAGTTGTATTCAAACGATTTAAGCTAACTTAAATTTTAATAAATATATTTGAAACGTAGAATTTCATTTACATAATTGTGTCAATTATTTATAATAGGTCGTTTTCTTCAAAAAAAAAAAAAACATACAATAATCAAAGTCATTTTCAATAGAACATATTTACCAATGTCTTTTAACTCTTCATATTATATCACATATTCATAGTGTATAAAGGTCTCGGTAAACTACTACTATATAGTATATATGTATAAAGACAAGCGTGACACCCGGTCTCACAAAACCTCTTCCTTTTCCTTTGTGTTTTTGAGAATCGAGTCTTTCGATATCCCTGTGATGGACACATAGAGAGAGAAAGTAGAGAGACAAAGAGGAAGAACCAATGGATGGATATTGTATGAGAAGAAGTAACACTATCACCACTTTACCCTCTTTCTCTTCTGTCTAATCAACATATCCCCATGGCCATTTCTTCACCATCATCATCTTCATCTTTCATGGATACACTCTTCCTCTGTGAAGAACAAGATCATCCATGGGTGCATGACAATGATGATGATGATGAATATGATTTTACAGAAACCACCCACCAAGATTCTTCCATCAATGTCCACCAAGATTTCTTCTGGGAAGATGAAGAACTTGTATCTCTCTTCACCAAAGAACAACAACAGCTACAAACAACCCCTTGCACTTTGAATTTTGACATAACAGACCCTTCTCTTTTGCTTGCTCGCAAGGAGGCTGTGGATTGGATCCTTAGAGTCAAATCCCATTTCGGTTTCACTCATCTCACTGCGATTCTCTCCATTAATTACCTCGATAGGTTCCTCTCCAGTCTCCATTTCCAGAACGATAAGCCATGGATGATTCAACTCCTCGCTGTTACTTGTCTCTCACTCGCAGCTAAAGTTGAAGAAACTCAAGTGCCATCTCTTCTAGATCTTCAAGTAACGTTTTTTTCTTTTTCTTTTTCTTTGCATAAGTTAATTGTACATCATGCATGAAGACTTGTACCTTAATCTGACATTATCATCATACTTCACTCACTCGCTAATGAAAATCGAACTGGGTTTAGCTTTATTTAGCGTTGATTTGTTACTCAAGTGCTGTAGCAAGTACTGAATTAATCTGAGTTATCGTTAACCACTTGAGTAATTTCCTATTCTAAAGAATTGTGATTATGTGTTCTTCCAGGTGGAGGACACACAGTACTTGTTTGAGCCGAAAAACATACAAAAAATGGAGCTTTTGGTTATGGCGACCCTGAAATGGAGGATGAACCCAGTTACACCAATCTCATTTCTTGATCATATCGTAAGAAGACTTGGATTAAAGACTCATCTACTCGGGGATTTCTTCAAGAAATGTGAAGATCTCATCCTGTCCCTAGTCTCTGGTAAGTTGTAATCCATTAAAGTCAAATCTCTCTCTCTTTCACTTTGACTAAAAAGTCAAAATCCGTATCAGATCAATAAGAAACATCATATGATATTGGTCATTCATTCGACTTATCATGTTTTTTTGTTGGTTTTCTTTCAATTCAAGATTCAAGATTCGTGGGTTATCAACCATCGGTACTGGCTACAGCTACAATGCTTCATGTCATCGATCAAGTTGACTTTTTCAACTCTGTTGACTATCAGAATCAGCTTCTTGATGTACTCAAAACCACCAAGGTTTGTCTCCTGTCCTGTGTAGTACTATAATCGCTTTATTAGTATGTAAATCCTCTGGATCAAAGACCAGTACAACTCTATATGCACATGGTACAACATTTAATGAACCACTGATGATTCTTTGCCTGACCATACCTTTGACCATGGAGATACAACATAGTTACAATTATACCCCTTGTATCTTTAAACAACTTAAAATATTATGAATTTTGATAGAAACATTGAATATATTTAATGGGTTGGTTGTTTATTATGGGGGAAATTCGGGGATCGATTTCAAGATTTTGTAATTCGTATGTTTTTTCAACCATTCAAAAGGGTAACTTTGTCTTTTAATATACCTTTGCACGATATTTTGATTAAAAAATATATGTAGCGTTGAAGATTGTGAACACGCATTAAGGATACTAATGGGTTTAAAAAAAGAATTGTACTTCATGCATACCCGAGTTGTACGCGATTATTAACCATTGTACATATGCTTGTGCACAGGAGAAAGTAAAGGAGTGCCATGAGATGATCATGGAAGCATCACATCCACGTTCCATAAACCCTAAAAAGAGAAAGCTCCAAGAAGATGAAACCATGAGCTTTAATAGCCCAGTTGGTGATCATATGGATGCATGTATTACATCAACATCATCATCATCATCATCATCACCCCATCACCATCATCGTCAACCTCCTATCAAGAAAATGGGAATCATGCAGCAACAAAGGCTCGGTTTTGCAGCGTTAAGTTGTCAAACGTTTGCTGATGTCACTTCTAGTACTCGTTAAATATAATTTGTTAGTGTTGTCAATAACCTTTTCGAGTTTATTTATGAGATAAATTTTGCTAAATTCAAGTATTTTGTTTTAGCAACGGAGTACGAACTAGCTATAATAATATATATTGGGTAAATTCTTTAACTTTTGCTCGTTCATTCATATTTTACTTATAATATCCAATAATAATGACGTAATGAATACATGATTAATTGAGTATTATGTTTAAGGTTCTTTTTGTAAAAATACGTGAAAAATTGAATTGTAATTCTTCTGTGCATGGTTGCCTGCTGGCAATTAGCAATTCCCAATCGAGCAATAAAGGTGGACACGTGGCTACCGAATTACAGTGTTTGTACTGTGGTATATTTTTATGGCTCGAAAGTGTAATTTAACTATTTAGTTCTGTTGATGACGCTCGTTGTGTGACTATTTTCAAAATGGAATTATAGTTGGTATTGTTTCGGCTAATATAAAATACTCTTTTTAATATTATAGATCTTTTTGAAGGAGTTTAAAATTACTTGTTGATTTTAATTTTGTGATACAATTAATTCGGTGTTTTTTAGAGTTTTTGATTTTCCCTGATTTTAATATGTAAATAAAATTTGAGATTTTATTGAAAACATAGAAGGATTCAAAATGTTGCGAGGAAAATAAATAAAGATGAAGTGTCGCAATCAAAATTATATGAAGGTCAAAAGACAAAAAGTATGGGATGTTGAATTTGGGGGACAGGAAATCTTAAAATATTTATGGGAGTTTAAATAGTCTTGTCCAATAACTTGTTCTTTTGTTTCATCTCTAAAAGTATGGGATATTGTATTTGTGGATGGTTTGATTATTTTGATGGTGTTGAGTTATAAAATAAATTATATGTAACATATTTATATTTAGTTATTTCTAAATACGAAAATAAATTTTTTTTGAACGGCTAAAATAAATAAATTAATATTTTAGGAACTGTGTTCTATATTATTAACAAAATAAATGATTAATTATCTAAACCACTTTTTATTTTTGTAACTTTCTCCATTAATCGATTGTAACTAACTACGAAATGATTCTCATGACTCACTATACCAGATCTAACAGGGGTATCTCTTTAATGAAAAAAGAAAAAAAATGTATGATTGGTCCAAACAATGAAAACCGGTGAAACCAAAACAATTTGATTAATTTTGGGCAATTTAATCACAAGTTAATTCAAAGTGTTTGAAATTGATGCAAAAAGGTTATCAATTTTAAGCAAGAAGCCGAATATTTCAATCAAAATAAACTATATAGATTAATAACAATATCAAATCAAAGTTACTAATATATTACGATACTAGATGTAAAACCCATGTATTACATGAGTTCATTTAAAAATGTTAAAAATGTTCGTTTAAAAGAAAAATTAAATATAAAATTCCAAACATTTGAGAAGTTTGAATTTATAAGAAAAAATAGAAAAATATTAAATTATTAAAATAAAAAGTTTTTTCTTCTTTTAAAAACAAATAATTTAGATAAAAAAACAAAAAAAAACTAATGAAACTTTAATTTAGAAAATTTGAAATTAGAAGGAAAGTCAATTAATGAAATTGATATGCATTTATTATTAGATTTATTGCAATTATTACATTTAAATATTACGTGGAATTTAATAAAATAGAAAAAACCACAAAATGCCATGTGGAAATTTTTTTATTGAAAATAACCACAAAATGACATGTGATTTGACAAAAAGAATTTCATTTATTAAAGTAGATATTTCTATTTTTTGCAAAATTAAAATTGAAGGATATCGATGAAAACGTATACACAAATCAAATATAAACTTAGAACATTTTAATTTAAATATGTCAAATCAGTTATAAATTTGTCATCACAATTCAATTTATATATCAATAATAAAGATTTTATCTGAAAACTCAAACAAAAATGATATAATCATATTTTTAAAATTAATCTAGATTAAAAATCATTATAATGTTTTCATCGTGTTAATATATTAGGGTATATTTCTATTTTGTGCAAAATCAAAATTGAAGGATATCGATGAAAACGTATACACAAATCAAATATAAACTTAAAACATTGTAGTTTAAATATGTCAAATCAGTTATAAATTTGTCATCTTAATTGAAATTATATATCAATAATAAAGTTTTTATCTAAAAACTCAAACAAAATAAGATAATTATATTTTTAAAATTAATCTAGATTAAAAATCATCATAATGTTTTGATCGTGTTAATTTAACCAACGTTAACGATGGATCCAACAACATGCATGCATTATATAAATAATTCAACTTTAAAACATAAGAAACATATTTACATAAATTATCTCAAAATAAAAAATAAACGGAAAACATAAAGGGCATGTTCGGAAAAATTAGCTGGTAGCGGGTAGCTTGTAGCTTGTAGCGTTTTGTTAAACACTACATGAAGTCTCATTTGAATTTGTAGCGTTTTGTTTAAACTAAACGCTAGAAGCTTGTAGTGCCGAACGAGGCTTTCTGTTCAAAACGAAGCGTTTTGTGAAACGCTAGAAACTAGAAGCTCTCAAACGCTCCGTGCCGAACACGCCCTTTGGGCGTGTTCGGAAAAATTAGCTGGTAGCGGGTAGCTTGTAGCGTTTTGTTAAACACTACATGAAGTAGCATTTGGATTTGTAGCGTTTTGTTTAAACTAAACGCTAGAAGCTTGTAGTGCCGAACGAGGCTTTCTGTTCAAAACGGAGCGTTTTGTCAAACGCTAGAAGCTAGAAGCTCTCAAACGCTCCCAAACGCTCCGTGCCGAACACGCCCAAATACACATGAGTTATTTTATAAAATTTGATGTACCATCTTCAAAATGGGCATAGAAGTTTTTACCATTTTTAATGAAAATTATTTTTTTGGAAATTAATATAAATAAATAATAAAATTTATAAAATTAAATAAATAATAATTAACAAGTTGAAGTAATAACTTTGATAAATAACCAACTTACGAAAACCTTATTAGTTAAGGATGTAAATAAATAAAGATTAAGAACTATAATTGTTGATTAGCAAAGTTGTCATAACTAGGTTAACTTAGTCAAGGATCGTATTATAATGATATTTGAGATTTAGGACTCAAGTGTGATGTATAGAAGTTTAATATAGTTAATTTTAGAAAGTTATGATTAAAGGGCCCAAAGTTGTCGATTCCTAAAAGTTGAAATTTAACTTTTGTCGAATAAATAGGACTTGAAAATCATAATTCATGTGGGGAATGGTTGTTTGGAAAATATTAAGGTCTTAGTAAGCTATCAAGTAAAAATGTAGGTCTAGTTGTGATTCATACCAGGTGAACATTTGAAGTTGAGGGACCATATTAGCCAAATGCTCATAGTGTAACACCCAAGTTTCAGGTATAATTAATTTTATGAATGCAGACATTTAAGGCTTAAACCTAAGACTTTGTGGTGGCCACGACGTAGTAATGATAGCATTACGACGTGGCGGCACCCGATTGAAGCACACATTCTTCTTGGGTGCCACGACGTGGCAAGATATTGGCCACGACATGGCATCTGTGTGCATGTAAATCCTAATTTTTTCGGCCTTAAGCCCTATTTAAGGGATGTGATGGATAGGCTTTGCACACTCTCATTCTCCATCACCTCCCTTTCAACCTAGAAGCATCCATAACTTCCATTGTTGAGTTTTTGAAGTTTTGTGGTGATTTTTTTGTGAGAATAAGTAGAAGAAGAAGGCATCCATTGTGAGAAGATCCAGCAAGCAAGCTCATCCTCTATATTCTAGCACATATTCTGGACATGAGTCCTTAGGATCTAATCTTTATGTGCCATGTTTCTAGATCAAGACTTTTATGCCTTGTTCTTCATGTTTGGGTTACTTAGTGTGGTGGGATCTCATAAAGTTGGCAACTTTATGGATCTTTGAGGCCCCCTTGAGATCATATGTTCCAGATCTGAAGTATGATTGGGTTTTGATTCCTTGCATGAGGTTTTGATCTCATTTTCTCCATTTTTTTTACCTAGTTGAAGTTCAAGACATGCATGTCTATAAAGCACCGATTTTTATGAATTATTAGGTGAGAGAAAACCTTTTGCAAAGTATGGACGTGTAGCTTGAGGGATTAAGAGCTTAATTAATTAAGTTGGTCAAGATAGATCCCATGACATGGAGATTTAGCCTCCACGATGTGGCGTTGGGCGATCTTCGCGACTGTTTTGTCGTGAGGTCACCACGACATGGCAAATGATTGACCACGGCGTGGCGACCGACTAATGGACTTTTGACCGTTGCCTTTTTGACTTTTGACCATGTTTGAATTTAGGTTAATTTGAGGGTTTTAGGCTGTAGTTTAAGAATTGGTCCCTGATTGTTGTATATGTGACCTGTAGTACTAGTTCTCGGATTGTGTGAGTTGTGCTATTATGTGCTAGATTGCGAGGTGAGTTTTCTCATTATACTTTTTACTGCAGTATGTATCCTTGTGTGTAGTATGTTGGTATGTTGTAGTGATCTATTAGATTGGTAGATTTGTGTGATTACCTATGTTTGCTGGTTATTGATTATTTGTTTGCATACGTCGACATATTGTGGTTGGTTGGGTTGAGGCGGTCATGATTTGTGCTGTAGGCCAAGATACCCGGGCGGTCCAGTCAGATTGTTTTCCCAAGGGAGCAGTCTAGCTACTGTAGGCCTTACGAGGTGGGCCAGTAGACTACAGGCTCGGTAGAGCGGTACAAGCATCATGTAGGCCTTGTGAGGCAGTCTAGGCAGATTGTGTTGGATATAGTGTCTAAGTCCATAACTATATTTGGTATGTACTTGACCTGACCCGGCATGGTCCATT